CCTTATTATTTCCTGTCATCCCATCATTGCTTCCCAATTCGCAACTGCGTTCAACATATAAGCGAACCAAGCAGCTCGGTTAACTGTGCAACTGTGGCGCAGCTGTTATGAGGTGGATTAGAAGGCACGAAAAGAAATTCGGATCCTTAGTGCACGTGCTCGTTTCGAATTTTCATGAATCGTGTCTAAGACGTTTGCAAAACTTTATACGCTTCATATTGACTATCTGTGTTACTAGCTCACCTTTAGAGAACTCTGAAAATCTTCATCTGAGAATATTTTTTTGCTACCACCGACCGATTATGAGTCCGCTTTGATTCTATTGTTCGCTGCTCGGGAGCTTCAAATGTGTTGCAATGAATTGGCTCCACAATTTGTGGACAACCTGTGCAGGGGTCCCAAAATTATGGGCGTCAAATTTCAGAAGTTCCTAGGGTAGAAATAATCCATCAAATCCACATTACCTGCTCTTACATATAAATAGTTGCATAAGAAACAGAAACGAAAATTCAGACCGGCACTCGGCTCTTACAGTAATCCGGCACGTGTTAATACGCAAATTTTACCCGTCACATATACGACGCGTCGAAAAGGGGCTCTGGGCAAGGACACGGGGGTGGGTGGTGGGGGTAAGCCAGGGGGTTACCGTAAGAGCCGAGTGCCGGACTGAACCTTCGTTTCTGTGCATAAGAAGGGTTTCTTGCAATATGTATGGTTAGTGATGTGGAGCTCCCAATATCTTTCAGATGGAGGAGGCTCATTCAATGCCACTTGCAATCATTGACACTCGAGAGATGGAGGGGCATTATAAAATTCCTCGGGATTTTTATAAAAATAGTATAGAAGGCTATTAGACGATATATGAAAAAAGATTGAATCAGAGACAAACCAGGAAGAGGCAGAAAGGCCAGTGTTCCTAAGGATAGGACTATTAAAATGGTATGTCTGCCAGTAGGTCGGGATCCTGGGTGATCCATCAAACGGAAGTCAACGAGCACGGCTTATCAGAGTTATCGCGATGGGAGAATGTCAAGCTTCATTACCATTCCTATAGTATGGAGAAATTTCGGTTCAATTCGTCATCGTTCATCGTTTTGCCCAAAAATTTTTCGCGATAAAACAATCCCTCAACAACCAAAACGTTCGTGTTCCAGAAGGAAACATCTAACTTGCAATCTCTCACAAAAAGGCTGCTGCAAGCGCAATAAATTATGTTTTTCGAAAAAGTCACTGGCATGGGTGGAGCGCTCGTGGTTTCTTCGGTGCCGGCGTGGAAATTTACCAAGACCAGTACTCAAAGAGCGTACTGATGTACGGGTGAAAATGTAGTTGGGGGGGGGGGGGGGGGGGAGCCACCCATCCGAAGGCCAGCATATCAAGAAATGAACTCAGTCTCACGTGTTAGCCCTTGTTATATCAGCGCTGTATCGGATGAGTAGAGCATGATGGGAATCGACCAGCTTAGCTCTTTTATGCGATTTCCGCTGAGGAAATTTAGTTTCCCAAATAAGCCTAGGTAGGGCAGGAGCTCCTGGGTAGCTGGGATGATTACCTCCTGCAAAAAAAAAGAAAAAAAGAAAGAAACTTGCCCACCGCGGTGCTCCTTCCCTACGAGAGCCCTTATTTAAAAAGTGGCATGTCCGTGATATACCGACATTGTGATAGGTGCCCCCCCAACTACATTTTCACCTGATGGACGTAATAAAACACTGATCCGACTAAGTCTTCTGAGACATCTCATATTCCTTCCAGCAGGTTGCTACTCCAGCCCACAGAGCCAAGCTTGTGCGCGAGTGGCGCCGACGACAGCTGCCCGACTCCATCGGTAAAAAGTAATTGCCATCCTATTTTCCTGAACTTGACTCAGTTGACTCCCCGTATGGTCCTTGATTAGAAGAGGACCTGACGATTTTACAGTCTCAGTTTGGAGTCCTAGAAAGCAAGACTGAAAAACATCTGGGAAGAAATGGAGAAGGATACGTGCTTGCCACATGCGATCTGGTCGAAAGCAAACTTTGCGCCTCTATCCGCGCTAAGGGAATATTTTAAAGTGTGATTGTACCGTGTTATAGCAAACGATATTATTTAGCTAACGTGCCCATCGCCTTTCGCAGCTGAGAAGCTTCAAATATATTGCTATGAATTGGCGCCTATAATTTTGGACACCCTGTATATAGTAGAATCCTTATATTTAGCTCGCTAAGTGGGCCTGTTTCACAAAATGATGCTTTTGCTTATTTATCTGCGTATGTGTACAAGTGAGTGTGGGTGTTGAAGTACGGATTGACTTGGATTTCATACCATACTCTTGATATCATAGATCTACATCGTCTAAATTCCGGATCTACAGGCAGGCGGGCCTATAGGATACTGAATGTATGGCAATGTCAGGTAGGAGTGTTAGGAGGTGGTTAGTCAGATTATACAAAGTCTTTCCAGCTCATTCGACGCTCTCGCGTGGGATGGTCTAGCATTACCCATCACAATCGAAAACTTTCTTGCAATCGGTGTGAAATGGGTATATATAGTACTCGCCGTAAGAACTAAAAAGTTTACGAGAATACCGCGAGTTCGCGTCTTTTTCGTCTTTTCCTTATAAATCGCTTCAAAATAAACTAATCGGTGAGAAAAAATACTATTGAACTCAGCTCATCGAGCTCTACAAGACGGTCTCCTAAAAAGTTGAAAATGCTTTATTTTGGATTGCGCCATGCACTTGAGCTCCGT